GAGTAGAGTAAGGAGAAGCAGGAGAGGATTTCCGCGGAATTCAATTGCAATCAATTCTTTTTTGTTCTCGGTTTTTGGGCCGGGGAACTTGTTATCATCACCCCTTGATAAAAAGCACCCACGGACCCCCCAATATGTGCATAGGCTGGAGTATAGCAAGCATACCATGGGTTCGCATTCAAATCAAGTTGAACACCCTAAATGTCCAGCCATTTTAGGAGGCAGAAATTTGTGGGGTCTCTCATCTTTGCAGGTGGCAAGATCTGCCAAGTGAACATGCCCGCTGCCCGCTTGAAGCCCCTAAGGCATCCAATTTGCCCGTATCTCCCTTGTAAGGACTCATTGTTCTTAGGCACTCACACCAAATATGATTTGTTAGATATGAGCCATGGGGATTATATAGGGGTGTATGATCTGGGTTATTAAGGGTGTTTCTCTGGCCAGGGGAATTTTACTACAATCACCCTTTTTATATTAGTTAACTCAGCATTACCGCATTTGTGGTTTGCTCAGGATGTATGCCCAGTACTGCCGGGAACTCTTGGATGGTGTCTTTGAGATTTGGCGGGATGCCTTCAAGGCAGCGCTGGGGTGTCTCAGAAGGTTGAGAGCTTTTCAGTTCCTCACGCATTCGCTTTCATTGGGTGTAGGCTCTCATAGCTGGAGGTACTGTTTCACTTGAGCGCCCCCCACATGAACCTCAATCAGTTGAGTCCTGTGTACCAGGAGGAAAAAGCGCAAAAAGCTGCCGATGCGGCGCGCTTGAAGATGGAGCAGGACAGGATCCGTCAATCGAACACGCACGCGTACACACGGAGAAACAAAGAAATTGAACCTCTCCGAACCGGTAAGCTTGCTGACACCTGAACGGCTAAATCCTCACACCTTGACACCGAAAGGCAACAATCCCTGAAGCCCTACCCCTAAAGTGGTGTGTTGGTGAGGAGATGCATCGCTTCAAGCAGGCGGAGCATGACAAGGCCTTCAACACTGCGAAGCAGAGACTCGACCGCATGGTTTGGGGCTGACAGGGTAATGGTTGGGAGGTTCCCGAGGGATCCAAGCGTGCGCATGCAATTGTATCTCTTGCAGCCTAAGTATTTACTAGTTGGGTCCTTGGACGGAGGACCACCCCCCGAACGAGGGTTGTTTAAGTTCAAGAGCTGCAGGTGTGGTCGTTTACAAGGTTGAGGTGCAGGTTTAGCGTCGCACATGATAATTCCGCGACCGACCTGCACCCTTAGCCCAAGGATCGCTGAGCAGATGTACAGCAAGCCAGGCTCTCAGTTGACCAGAGGTACCGTACGCTGCTTCCATGCTGGTTGGAGAGGGATTTGGAAGGCAGTTTCCACTCTGCCTAGGATTCGGCATGAGCACAGCTGATCTTGCTTGTGTCTAGGCTTCTTGCATTGCAATGAGCATCCTCCGTAAGGATTTCCGGCAAAACCCTACGCTTGCGGTTTCCGGACCTTTGGGTTGCTTACTATATCTTGCTGCTGCTGTTGACGGGTTGAGCATGTGGCTGGGCACTCTTTAGTCCGCTTTCTTGCCTGAGCATATGGCGCATTCAGCTTTTACTTAAGATCCAGGCCCCAAGGCTGTCATTACATGTTGCCTCTGTGCCGGGGAGGTATTGCAATGGCCTCTTCGATGAGATCGTTGGATCTTGGAAGGCAGACTGAATGTTGATACCGGAGGTGTAAGCCCCAAAACTTCCAGAACCCGTATGTAGGGTGAAGGACATGTGAAGATTTGTAATGTTTTCAGCAGGAAGATGCAATCTTGAACTTTGACCGCCAAATTTTAAACACAACAGGAGGAGACCATGAAGACCAAGAAGGCCTAGCGGGAACATCAGGGCTTAGGTGTAAGTTTGGCGTTAAGGGATCCGGGTTCGAGTTCGAAAATTCCTGGACTTTAGGTAACAAACGCGCGGGTTTTATTGTCCAAGTGAGGTGAAGATTCTCAGCAGTGTTATGACTCAGTGCGCTTCAGTCTTCTGATGCAGATCGCAGGACACCCATGTTCATAAAGGTGTCAGCTTACATGGTTAGAAAAGTGATGAAAAAAAGGTTGGCTGTCGTGTTGGATGACTGCAATTCTTGATGCTACGCAGGACGCGGATATCCTAAGCTGTTTATTAGCAGATGTCACACGCTAGTGGGTACCAGTAAAGCCTCCCACCTTCCAGTTTTTCCAAGCCTAACATAGCAGTTTTTGCATTTGATGTCGGAGCCCCAAAACACGCATCTCACCGTTCTTGGCTTCAGATAGGCTCTAGACGGATGACTTTGCGAAACATTGCGGCTACTTTATGTTGGGACCTTTTCAATGTTCCAGACAGTGTCCCGTTCGTCCATCCGTGTAGTGGGTACTGACTTACTCTCAATGCGCTTGTTTAATACTTGGAGATTCATGGGAAGTGCAAGAGGAGCTCTTCAGCATTCCAAGTATTTAATTCTATAATCAATTCTGACTCCTAGTTCTCCAATCTTTAACCGCGGTTGCCATGTTGTACCTACAAGTAGTGAGCAGCATGAGACCTAGGTTTGTAAGACCATAACAAATCTTTGACCGAGCGCCTAGCCATAACAAATCAGTGATGGCAATAGTGTTGACAACTATTCGTAGTAGATTCTGCTTTCAGCGCGCAGTCCCTCGACTTGAGACCTGAGCTGGTATGGCCCTGAGTGTGTAGAATACTGCTGACCCCAAGGAAAGCTTCCAGCACTTTGGCAAGACAACTACTAAGCACGTTGTCACAAACCCCAAACCCTTTGTGTTAGCAACGTCCCAGCAAACCACCAGATGCAGGCTCTCGTTCGTTTTAGTGTTTAGGGCTTTGTGTGCATTCCTTCATGTTTGGAGCCCTGACAGTTATTGATAGTGACAGGAAAAGGAAGAGAGGACGAAGAAAGCTCTCGAGGAAGGGCGGCAGAAGGCGATGAATGGTTTCGGGCTTCGGGCATCTTGGGCTCAGGTGGCTTGGGGTTGAAGCCAAGGGGATAGGGATACGCTCGACAGGAGGTTTCTGGTTGCAGGTTTCGAAATTGCTGACCGTGGAGCATTGGGTGCATGGCGCAAGTGCGATGCGAAAGTGCAAGGAACACGCTATTGAAGACTTGTTGTTGATAGGCTGCTTTCCACTCCTCGTTAGATTTCGAATGTTGGCCTTGTCTCTAAGCCAACCCGGTCGGAATGAGGCACAGATTAGAAATCCTTTTTGCAGCGGCAAGTTCGTCTCCCTGGACATCTGATCCCGACGGGCCTGAGTACCCATATAGCATAGGGTTTGGGCTCAACTGGCTTTTGGCATGATTCCATTGGGGCCTGAGTAGAGACTATTTGTGGACGTTGGCCCCTTTTCCTGTGCCAGGCCCAGCAAGAAAAGGACCTCCGCGAGGCCGAGGTCCTGGCCGAGAGGATGTGCAAGTGGCCTGGCCTCACTCGACCCCAAGAAGCTGCTTAGGGTTAAGGGTTTAGGCTTTTTGTAGAAATTAGCCCCCAACCTTTCGGGCCGAGTGGCTTGGCAATTGACAACCTGCAGCATCAAAAGGCACCTAAAGATTGGGGAAAACAAAAGGGCACAGGTAGTGGAACTTTCGGGAAAACGGTGAAGGGTACGCGGGTCCACTATTTTGACGAAGCACTCATTTGAAACCTGAAGCAGTTTGCCAGTGGAAGGTCCAAGCATCCATATGGTACATACTTTGGCCCCGCTTGGCTTCATCTGACTACTTTCTTTCTGCCTATTTGGCTTCTGACTATTCTTTAGATTTCTTGCCAAGGACTCTACGCACGGACGACATGAAGTTTTGCTTCGACTTCTGGCTCTCGGATTACCGATCGGAGTGACCTGCTTAAAAAAGTGCTAAAGATTGGGGTGATCTGGCTCCCAACCAAGTGGTCTTGCTGACTGTACAGTACATGCAGAAGAGGCAGCCTGTGAGATCGTTCCAGAAGTGGTTGGAAGCCAGATCTTCGGTGTAAAGGGCGCTCACTTAAACAATGAGACGCTTGCAGGAGGGAAGATGGATGGGTTTTCCAGCTTCCAGCCTTAAAGACGGCCGTGTGGAGCGGCGACACTTGGGCGTAAAGGATCCAGGTTCAGTTCAGGGCTTTGGAACGCATGCTGACTCGCCCAGGGCTGCCAAGAGGCGTGATGACGAGGCGAAAAAGAAGCACGAGGCTGGATTTAGGGTTTAGGGTGACAGCCTGGCAGGTAATAGAAAGGGATAGCAGGGAGTTGTCCGTCTGGGCTGCTTTGAGTAGCATGATTCGTCAGGCCTTTCATTGGGGCTGTGGTTTAGGGACAAGAGGAATCCAAAAGACCAGATATGGGTTGTAGGTCGTGAGGGGTTACAGAAGGGTTTGACTTTCTCATGAGGGTTCCAAAGTTGCGTTCTTGGACCCTAATCCGCAATTGTAGCATTCCTTGGAGATGATGGTTTGTTGTGCAGGAAATCTGATGACACTGCTTAGGGAGGTGGCTGTTGCCGTCAGCAGTTTAGGCACCAAACGGCGAGCTTAGTTCTGGACACTACTGCGTGCATTGTTCGTTTCATCTCGTTTCCATGTTCGAGTTGTCGCTTCATTCTTCGATAACTCAGGAATGCCTTTCTTCTTTGATGGGTTCTCCATTCTCCATAGTCTTGACCTGGCAGGCTGCCAGAGCCGAGGTGTTTGCAAGTAGGAGGAGGGTGGTTCACTGAGACTGCGGGGGATGCTTGCAGGCACGTTCAGGATGTTTATGGCTTCTTTCAGACCTGCTAGAACGCAAAACCATCATCTCAAACTCCGACGTCCTACTCCCCAGACCCACCCCAAGTGTGCAAATCTACAGGCGACACCCATTTTCTGGGCTACGCCCAAGGAATGTGAGCCAAGTCATTGCTCGTAGGAAACCATTGCATTTGGTATCCACATCAGTCACATCATGGTAAGTCCGTTAAAGGTGACGGACCGCAAGTACCTAGATTGTACCTAGAACCCATCCTCAGGCCGAGCTGGCAGCACTCCGGCGCATGGAGCAGGCCAGCGCACAGCTCTAAAATCACTGCTAGACTTTTTAAGGGACCCAAAAGAAGTTCATTTGAGCATCACACAGTGATTCTGCAGGTCCCTAGCCTGGAGACTGCAGGGCGGTAGTTTTGAAAAGCATCATCTATCTCTATGCATGTGTAATCTACACCTTGCTACTGCCTGGCGTTATAGCTGAGAATCCAACCGCAATGAAGGAAAACAGCTGCCACTGGATGTGTTGGGTGTAGGGGCTCCGGGACAACAGCTAGAGGGGTTGTAACCCGGCACGGGGTTGTCACATCATCTCTGGGGGTCCCCAGAACCTGAGGCAGGCTAGCCAGAGGATGCATCGCCAGCCAGCTGCACAATTCCAGCAATATACATACATTGAATCTACACGCGACCTACAAAGTAAGGGCGCAGAAGGTCCGTGGTCTCAATGAACTCCAGGAATGCCGATAGATTCTATGGATATCCACTGCATAATCTCATAAACAAATTTAATTGGTTTGCGTATGTCAAATGCCACCTCTGTCTTTGTAGGCTCAAAGTCCCCAAGCATGAAGCATCTAGCATGGACGAAAGGATGCCCAATACATAATGAATGATGAGGATGATACAACAGTGTGCAACGCCGCTGCGTGACCCTTTTGCTGACATTGACGAATGTTCTTCTCACAAGGATCTCCAAAGTTGCTAGACTCTCATACTTCTACTTCAGCTAAGAAGATTAGAAAAAGGCATCGCGGAGACAGCGGTAATTGACTTTTGCAGGGGAGCCTTGGGGTATCCGCAGGGGCAGGGACGGGCTGAATATATCAAACACATAAGAGAAAACCAGGCAAAACAGCCGGCGCTTTTCGCTTTGGGGAGAAAAAGCCTGGCTACTTTCATTGGTCCTAAGGCTGACCGGTAGTAGCAAGGGGTATATTTTTTTCTATCTATCTATATTTATTTCCATGTTCGCAGAATCTCTATACAGAAGGGCTGTGGAGGCTTGAGCTTTAGAGTTCTAGCTCTATGCGCATGCTCGGGATTTAGGGCCGAGGGTGTGGGGCTAGGGTTTGGCTTGAAGAAAAGACGCTGGTATGAGAGCACTTTCTACTTTGATACTTGGCCCACGGATTAAAGAGTTTGGTTTGCGTTTCTCCTTATTCTGACTTTCTGAAGGAAAGCAGGCGCCTAGGGCCTAGGGCTATTGCTTGGCTCGTTTAGCAGGCTTCACCCGGTTGGTTTGGAGTTATTGTCGTACAATTGTGGGCGGGCTTTTCAACGAATCCGCCTTGAGCCAAAGTAGGTGTGATTTGCTAGTCCTCGCACTTACCAGGAAACTGGCGAGCGCGCGGCGCTTCAAATTGCACAGAAGAGCCGCTGCTGCAAGTTTTGATTATGGGTGGTGGCCGTCACGGTGGTGATCGTGGTGGTGGTCATGGTGCTGGTTGTGGTGGTGGTTGTGCCGGTGCCGGTGCAGCTGTTGGTGCTGCTGCCGCTGCCGCCGCCGCTGCTGCTGCTGGCCACGTTTGACGTCGGTTTGCGTTATTAGTGAACTGCTCCTGCACCTTCAAATCCACTCAGACTCACACCATTAGCCAAACGGGGGGCCCTAAAAACAAATTGAATAGGGATCAATGTTTTAAATCCACACTCGGGTGTCCATCCATTACGGTGGCCCATGCTGGTTCTTGACATTTGGGGGCAAAGTTCTTTAGTCAAGTTCCAAACAGGATGTCTAGTCGACCGCGCTCGCAGACTGAGGATATACAAGAAGATCGTGGATGACAACATGCCGCTTGATCGATGTCTGAGAACACTCATCGTTGGTCTTCCAGATCTTCGGAGATCCTCATAGCATCAGTAGATCATTGGTTTGCCCCTGCATCTCGTGATCGATACTTCAAAACTCGTTCCGAATGAGACTTGTCAGTGCGTTTCTCATAGTTATCGAAAGCCCCTACAACAATCTACAACAATCTCGCTACCTTACCTTACTTAGATCTAGAGACCCCCCCCCCTCCATTTTCGAGAGACCTTCAACTGAGAAGTGTCTCGTTGGCATCTTCATAGCTTGCCTTCCTCATGCTTGGAATTCCCCACTTCCCTGCTTCCAGTCACAGAGTAAGGGGCGTGTCCACGCCGTGAAGCACGATAACACTCAAGCTGTCAGCGTGGGCTGCTCTAGATGGACTTTTCTTCCAACTTATTGCCGACAAACGCTCCTGAGTTGATGCAGCATTGAGAATAGCCAACGCGTTCACGCGTGTCTGAGCTGGATGACAGAGAGCTACGTGTGGAACATCCTCGGGCCCTCTTTGAGCCCCCCCAAACCCTAGGCCTAAACTCTAAATCAAAGCTTATGCTGCAAACATTGGGCCCGAAGTCTTTCCCCAAAAGGAAATGGTGCTTGGACAACTGGCACCGCATCATCAAGAAGGAGAAGTCCCAGAAGAAAGAAGAGGAGGCCAAGCGGAAGCACCAGGACCCGGCTAATTGGTCTTCAGTGCCCAGGTGTGGGCGTCGTGGCTTAAGGTTCGGGATTAGGGTTTGGGATTGAAGATTTTTGGGGTTCAAGGTCAAGGACCCAGTCGTGGGGCCCAAGTGCATCTCCAAGCCCTCCTTGAGGGGCCAATGACATCACTGTGGTGCCTGTGCAGAATTTCAATCGACAAACAATAAACCAGTCTCCAGATTTTGCTGACATGCTGTCTGACACGTTACCGCAGCTTGCTCGTCTCACAGTGTTTGCACACCCGGCTTGCGTGGGGCACAACGAACAAATCATATGCCATCGCAGGATGAGTTGGACAGAATTCGGAGGGAAGAGCTTGAGAAAAAGGACAAGGCCCGCCGTAGGGCGTCAATGGTAGCAGGTGTTCATCACTACTTTTGTGAATGGGTAGTAATGTTGGACCCGCTTTAA